GGCGCTGGCTGGTGCGTCGCTGCGGCCGCGCTGGCGCGCGCAGGCCCCCGCGCAGAGCGGCCGGCTAGTCTGGCGCGATCGACTGGGCCGCGGTGGCGTTGACCGCTGGGGGCTTCCCAGAAAGTCTCGCAGGTCGCGCTGAGGCGCGGGCGCTTCAGTGCGAGTCGGTGGCTCGGGCGGGCGCGGTAGTGCGGCGACGTCGACAGCGGCGGGCGCGATGGTGATCGCGGGGGTGGTGGGGGCGATGACGGCGATGATGGCGGCCGGGCCGCTGACGGCGCCGATGGTGATCGCGCCTGTGACGATGGCGATGTCCACGTGCTGGGGGTGAAGGTTGCGGGGGGATTTCGACGCGCGAGCGCGGCCGACGGGCACGAGTGGCCCGCGCGGTATAATTTGACAAGGGTCGTGCCCCAGGAGGCGTGCAAGGGCGTTCGGATGACCTCGACATGCGTGCGCGAAAAGCCCGTTTGGTCGAATTCGATGAACATGTTTTGAGCTTTCTTTTCTTCCTAAAAACAAGTGCAAGGGCGCGCGTGTACTTTTTCTGATTAAACAGGTCGCAGAACCGTGTGCTTGTAGATGTTTGCGGGACATTCGGTAGTGAAGCCCGCGCGGAATCGCGGCGCTTGATGGAGTCCCGCATGCGCGCGCGAAGGCGCGCGCGCACTTCGTCCACTTATTTTGCAGAGGTCTCTTGATAACTGCTGATTTGTGACAGACGAGATTGCGCGCATAATACTATTTAGCGAGCGTCGGGGGGGCGTGTCCCGGCTTGGCTGGTAGTGCGAATGCACGTGTAGAGTGAACAATGGGGCGTAATCTTATTTTTATTGCACATCCCCATGGGGGGGGTCACCCTGGGTGGGGGTGGAGGTGGTAGATCCAAATTATTTGTTTAGACAACGAGAACTACGTGGTGCAATTCATTTTGAAAAGATAGAATTGCCCACTCCACTGCTCTCGCAATCACTCCGCCCGCCCGCCCGCAACTTGGTTGGCAAAGCTAATGTGACGGCGCTTTCGATGAGTGCTTGGCGCTTGCTGGTGCGTCTCCGCGGCCGCGCTAGCCCGCGCGTGCTCGCGCGCGCAGCGGGCAGCTAGTCTGGCGCGATCGACGCGACCGCGGTGGCGCTGACCTCTGGGCACTCCCCAGCTTGTCTCGCATGTCGCGCGGACGCGTGGGCACTTCAGAGTGCGAGTCGGTGACTTGGGCGGGCGCGGTATCATGTCGACGTCGACAGCGGTAGACACGGTTCTGATATTCGCGATGGTGGTGACGATGATGACGATGACGACGGCGAGGCCAATAGCGGTGCCGATGTTTATCACGCCGATGGTGATGATGGTGTTCTCACCATGGTGAGGAAGCATTGGGATGGCTTCGACGCGCGCGCGCAGCCGACGCGCGCGGGCGGCCCGCGTGGTTTAATTTGACAAGCGTCGTGCCGCCCCAGCGCGCGTGCAATGGGCGTTTGGATGATTTCGGCATGCGCGCGCGGGGCCCGTTAGGTCGAGTTTGATGAACGTGTAGAAATACACGGATATCAGAACAGTTGCAACATCGCGAGCATTTGTTCGAACGGATGTTGCACAACCGTGTGTTTTGATATGTTTTTTTTTTTCCTCGGGATTTTCGATTTCGATGCGGTTTCCTAAGGGAATCCACGGTTTTTGAATGATTCCAGCATGCGCGCGCGACGACGCGCGCGTGTGGATTCCGTCCCATTTTTTGGAAAATGGATTTTCGAAAGTTGATGAGTTCATGTTTTTTTTAAGGCGAATGTGCGCGCATAACATGTTTTTTGCAGAGGGCGGCGGGGGGTGTCGATACCAGTTGGGCTGGGATGGCAGAGGTTCTCATAGCTCGGACGGGCGATGCGGCAACATCGTATTCAAATGGCACTGCAAATAACGGGCTGATGTTTGGAGTTCTTGTTTGGACAAGAGAGTCGTTGGGATGCACTTCGTGTGGTATGTATATATGCGCGCATCCATGTATGCATGTATGCATGTCTGTCTGTGTAGGTGTATGTGTATGTACATGTACACGTATACGTTTATGCATATGTACCCTTATATATATATGTATGCATGCGTATATGTAGTTGTTGTATGTATTTGTATATGAATGGGTGCATGTTTTTGTACATATATATTTTTTATGCATATGTATGGTACACGTACATGTATATATGTGTTATCATGTGTCTGTATATGCATATGTATTGTACTTGCGATATGTATATGTTGATGTATGTGTACATGTACATGCATATGGATATGTTTACTGATGTGCATGCGTATGTAACTATGTATGTGCACATACACATATGTATACGCATATATACATATATATATATGGTATGTGTACATATATATAGTCATACATATATACGTCTTTGGATATGCATATGTATATGCATTTGTAGTTGTATTTGATATATCAATGTTTATGTAGATGTGCATGCATTCTTATATGTATATTTATCAGTGCATGTGTATGTAATTGCATGTGTATTTGTGTACGTTTGTGTAAATGTTTATGTTTATGTACATGTATATGCCTACGTATCTGTATATGTAGTTGGACATGTACATGTACATGTATATGTGTACGTATATGATAGTGTATGTGTATATGTATATGTATGCGTACATATATACATATTTGTATTTGTATAGGTATCTGTATATGTCTATATACATATATCGTATTTGTGTTTGTATGCGTGTACGCATGTGCATATGTTTTTGTGTATGTACATGTGTGTGCACACGTACTTGCACACACACACATATATGTTTGCATCTGTACGTGTATATGTATAGGTATATTCATGTATACATATATGGTCCAATCTATGTGGTGCATCTCGGGCGGCGACGAGGCGGCGACGGGGCGGGGGCGGCGGCAACGTCGCCGCCTGACCGATGGACGTGCCCGAACGACTGGCGGCGACGGGGCGGCGACGGCGGCTGACCGGCCCCCGCTCGAAGGGGAGCCTTCCCAGGCTCCGACAGTTGGCACCCATGCCTGCAGGCCTTGCCTTTCCCCCGCCCTCCTCCCATGCGCGGCGTTTGGTACTGAGCGTGGGTGGGCGCCCCCCCCGCCGACAGCCCCAAACTCGACCTCCGCCGCGGGCAAACATCGCCGCGCGACGTCGACCCCGGGCGGCCCACGCCACCCGCCGCCAAAGCCAAATCCCTGGCCCGCAGTCGCGGACAGGGTGACGTTGACCCCGTCGGGGGGGAGCCCCCCCATGCTTACGGCTGCGGCAGGAGGCTGGCCCGAGGCTCAGTATCGCTCAACCGATCCCCATCCCCACCAGGCCGTCGTCTCTCAGCCCCACCACCCCCCGGGGCCAGCCAATTAGGGGCGTAGCACTAGGGGGGTGGACACGATACTTCCCTCCCTGAATATCATGGCACCTTTTTCTTCTTTCAACACGTCCCTTGGCCCCCCCTTGGGTGTGCAAGTACCTCGGGCCATGACTTGCGAACCCCCTTCTTGGACGCCCCCTCTTGGAAGCCCCCGAATCCCACCACACCAGTTGGGGATAGGCCCCTCGAAATCCGAAGCGAACAGCTTACATCCCCATCTGGGGGGGGGGGGGGGGGCAATCGGCCAGTGGGGCCCAGGCCACGCCGGTGGGGATAGGGATCGGTTAAATGATGCTTAGAGGCGGAGGGGAGGATCGGCACGACGACGAGCGGGGATGAGGGAGGATGATTCTGCGACCACTTGCGAACCCTACTTGACGGCCCGCACGGGGGTGGCGCGAGAGGACGACGTCCTGAGAAGGCGGGCTGTACCTAAGAAGGCATAGGGGGGCTTCTCAGAAGCCCTCCAGGATTCTGAGAAGCCTTTTTAAAAGCATCGATGGCCTTCAAGGAGGCCTCCGCCCTAAACCAACACATCCTACCCTCTGAGAAGTCCCCCCCCTCGCGCCGTACCCCTTCTGCGCGCTGTCCAGCTACCCCTGCGGGTCCAATCGACGCCTGGGTATCGGACACCCCCGCAAGGGTTCACCTGGCTGCAGACATTCTTCAGACTCTGAGCCCTGGCCGGTGTCTCAGAAATCCGACCTGCAGGGTAGGGCTCGCACGTGGCTGCTTGAGGATGAGGTCGAGGTAGGGGGGAGGAGGAGGAGGAGGAGGAGGAGGAGGTGGTGGTGGTGGTGGTCACTGCATAAGGGAAACATAATCCCGAGCAGAGCAACACGCACCACGACCACGACGACGCCGACGACGACGACGGAGACGAGGCGCGCTTACGATCCGCACCGAAGCACGGATTTGGGAAAGGGCCCACCCTGCAGGTTCGGTTAAACAGCACATCGTTGAGCGGTGCTGCAGCCTCCCCTGAGCACAAGCCCCCCCAGAGCATCAGCCAGGCAAGTCGGGTTTGCATCCTCATGCCTTGCTGGACTCTGGGCACGTTTCGGCACCCTCTCCCCCAACCTCGTCAGGGCCACCGACAAGGGAGAGGGCGGCGGTGGCCGACGCGTCCCCGAGCTAAGAAGCTCAAAGCGCCGCGGCTCAGAGAGCCGGGAAGACAGACAGACAGACGGACGGACGGACAGCCAGGCGGCGTGCAATGCCTGGCAACCCAAGTGGGTGGTCACTGCATAAGGGAAACAGAATCCCGAGCAGAGCAACACGCACCACGACCACGACGACGTCGACGACGACGACGACGGAGACGAGGCGCGCTGAGGAGGAGGAGGAGGAGGAGGAGGAGGAGGAGGAGGAGGAGGGGAGGAGGAGGAGGAGGGGAGGGAGAGGAGAAGAAGGGCCCGAGAGGGCTCTCCCTGGGGGATTTCCAGGAGGCCCCAAGGGGCTCCTGTGAGCTTGGCTTCCTCCGCTCCCACGCGTTCCTATTCGCTCCCTACAGCTCCCCTCCTCTTCCATCCCCTCCCCTCCTTTACATCCCCCTCTCCTCCCATCCCCTCCCTCCTTCTTATGAGTCGCCTCAAGAGTATTGTCGAACCTCCGAGGTGGAGGAACACGGGAGCGTCGTGCGGTTCTGGTTGGAGGGCCTCGGCCACCTCCCACAGTACCTTTGGGAGGAGTCTTACCGTCCCTCATTTGCTGCCACATCTTTGCTGCACGTAGACAGCCACTCTGACATGATGCTCGCGAGGTGGGACGACGTGCAAGAACATATGCGCGGCCACGAACATGACATGCAGAGACTCGGTGCAGAGCTCATCAGGGCCCCCGCCATCGGAGACTTCATTTCTGGCGCGATCTTCGCGCAGCTCGTCAGCGACGTGGTATGGTTGCGCTCAGACTTCGCATCGGGGAAGTACAATGGTCCAGCTCCTGGCGTCTACGAGGTAGACACTGGCCCCACCTCCTTACTACTCCTCTCTCCCTCCCTTCCTCCTTTCTCCTCGTCCTTCTGCTGCTGATGGTTCTCCATCGTCCTGCTGATGCCCCTCCTCCTCGTCCTCGTCCTCCTCCTCCTCCTCCTCCTCCTGCTCCTCCTCCCTCTCTTCCCCCTCCAGAATCCGCCATGATTCGTTAGGGTGTTTGAGAACCCGCTAGAAACGAGGGAATCTGCCACAAGCAAATCCCGAACCATCTCCTCATTCCCACGCCTCCTTTATCCCGTCTCCTCTTCCTCCTGCTCCTGGTCTTTCCTCCTCCTCCTCCTTCTCCTTCCTCCTCCCTCCTCTTCCTCCCTCCCCACATTTCACAGAGTTAACAGACATATTCATTATCATTTCTCATTCCTGCTTCTCCCTTCTTTCTCCTCTTCCTCTCCTCTTCCTCTCCTCCTCGCCCGCTCCTTCCTCCCTCTCTGGGGCGGGCTGGGGCACTTCTGTCTCAGTTTCTCGGGTAGGGGGATCACTTCGTCCCGCTGTTGGGGCTGGTGTGGGCTGAGATGCTCAAAACGTCCCAGGCTTGCGAACACAGCCTCACAGCTTCCTCGGAGTCGGGTGCTAAATCGTCGGAGGTTGGGGTGTGAGACCGACGTCGCCCCAGCCGCAGAGTCGGCTTCGGTCTCGGGTCTTGCCTGCGGGCGAGGCGAAGCCGCGTAGGGGCGACGACGTGCCGGCGCAGCTAGGGCCAAGTTCGTAGAGCAAGCTCATCTCTGGTCGCGCGGTTCCTCGCCTCGGTTGTCCCCCAGTTGTCCGGTGGTTGTCCTGTGGTTGTCCCGCGGTTGTCCCACGGACTGTCCCGCGATCGTCCCTGGGGTTGTCTTGTGGGTTGCTGCCCCGTGGTCGTCCCTCGGTCGTCCCGTGGGTTTTCCCGGGGGTGTTCCCGCTGGTTGTCCCGTGTCTGTCCCGTGGGTTGTCTTGTGGGTTGTCCTGTGGGTGCCACCTCGAAATTTGAAATCTAGATCCGATGGACACCTGAATGCAAATCACGTTTGCCAACGTGGGCCCAAAGCAGTGAGCTCTTGCGCTCTGTGTGTGTAGGCTATTTGTGACATGCTATGTGGTGCAACCTTTTCGCGCTGCAAGCAATCGGAAAACTATGTGTGCAGTGCAAGTCAGGCAGTGTAAGCAATGTGGCGCACGCAATGTGGTGTCAGATTTGCGTGGTGCATGCTATTTGGTGTAAGCAAGTTGTTGTAAACTAGTGTGTAGACTCTGTGGTGTAAGCTATGTGGTGAACGATATGTTGTGCAAGCTATGGGCCACGGGGCATCAGCGTGACAACCACGTGACAACCACGGGACACCGATCTTCTAGTTACTTACGGGGTTCAGTATCGTTCTACCCATCTCGTTATCAAGTTGCAGTTCGACGTCGCAACATATGGGTCTGACAATTATTATAGCAATCTCACCGTCAATCGACCTGTCGGTATCACTACATATCGGTCTCATGCTATACCAATCGATTTCAATCTCAACCGATCGATCGATATCACTACATACCTATGGGTCTATCTATCGAGGTATCTATCGGCAGACGTGGCAACCGCAGGACAACCACGTGACAACCTCGGGGCAACCACGAAACAATCACGGGACAGCAACGGGACAACCACGGGACAACCACGGGACAACCACGAGACAACCACGAGACAATCATGGGACGCACACGGCACAACCAAGGAACAGCCATGGGACAACCATGGGACAACAACGGGACAACCATGGAACAACCACGGAACAACTATGAGACAACCACGGAACAACCACGGAACAAACACGGGACAACCACGGGACAATCGCGGGACAGTCACATGACAACCATAGGGACAACCACGGGACAACCACTGGACAACCATTGGACAATTATCGGAACGACCATATATAGGGAACTCCGCGGGACCACCGCTGGGCCACCGCGGGACCATCAGCGGGACACCCGCGGGACAGCCGCAGGACAACCAAACGACAGACACGGGACATCAGCGAGGCAATCGTAGGACCACCGCGCGGCAACCGCAGGAGGAGGAGGAGGAGGAGGAGGAGGAGGAGGAGGAGGAGGAGGAGGAGGAGGAGGAGCAAACGCAGGATCACCGCGGGTGCACCCCCTGCGCACGCTCGGACGCCTGGGGGAGGGGATGGGGGGCACCCTGTCCTCCCACGGGGCCCCCGGCCAGGGCGCGAGCTCGCGCAGCTTCTCCCCGCCCGCGCGCGCGCGTCGAGCACGACGCGAGCCGACACCGAGCTCGAGTTCTTTCAGGTTTCGGGGGCCCGCTTTCGCTGCGGTCTCGCCCCGCGGCCCTCGACTGAAGTGCACGGCGACGTGGGCAGCGAACTCGAATCGAGGTGCACACCGACTTGGGCCGAAGTGCACCACCCACCAAACCACCCCAACCCAACCCGAAGGCCTCAATTTGCCCTCCATTTCCAGTGGGGGGGGGGGTCGGGGAACAGTGACAAAACACAGATGGAACCCTTACCCCCCCCAACCCGAAATTCGGGTCTTCGGGTTGGGTGGGGGTGGTCTGGTAAGTAGTCAGAAGTGCACACCGACCGTCAAGTCTGGAGGTGCACGAGCGTGCACGTCAGAATGCACATCCGAGTGCACTCGTCGGAAGGAACATCGAAATGCAGGTCGGAATGAGCATTGGTACGTAATTCAAAGTCGTACTGTACATAGCATATACGTGCAGATCGAACTGCCGTCATGCATTTCAGAACGCGCCTCGAACGAGCAAAGTCAATTTCATTCGGAACGCATTTCGTATTCCAAATCTGCGTTAACCTCGACATGTGCATCGGAATGGACAGCGTCATTCAAACCCAATTTCAACCGGCATGCATACGTATATATATATATATATATATATATATATATATAGGTGTAGATTTGCACACACATATTCCCCCCACCAGTGCTTGCACTTAGTGGTCCTTGCTTCTGTTCCGAGGGACTCGGCCTGGGTGTCGGTCTGGCGGCTCCGTGCTCGCCGTCGCCGCCCCGTCGCCGCTTCGTCCTCGCACATCGCTTGGGCCTGGGTGTCGGTCTGGCGGCTCCGTGCTCGCCCTCGCCGCCTCGTCGCCGCCTCGTCGCCGCCCCATCGCAGCCCTCTTGCCGCCTAGATTGCACAACCATGATCGCACCACATATATTGCACAGCACAGGTTGCACTACCTAGAGTACACCTCGTATATTGCACCGCACCGCTTGCACCACTTAGATAGTACCCCCTAGATTGCACAACATCTGTATTGCACCACACAGGTTGAACCACGTCGATTGCAGATTGCATCACATATCTTGCTCCGCATAGGTTGCACCACACATATTGCTCCACAGAGTTTGCACAGCATATATTGCACAACGCATATGGCACCACATAGACTGCACCACGCCGATTGCACCGCATATATTGCACCCCACATTCTGCTGGCGCCACAAGGTTTTGGGCCCACGCACGCTAACACATGTCTATGTCCATACATAACTGTGTATCCACACACATTATATATGCAAACTCAATTGACATCGATCTGTATATCGGAACGGAAGTTCCTCACCCCAACCTCCTTATCATCCGAGCGGTCTATGAGGTACATGGGCCCTCAGAGGGCTACGTCACGGGTTGTCTCAATGCTCAGCGTGCTTTGCACCTCGCGGGCAGGCAACACCTATGTGGTACAAGAAGCCGTAAGCTGGGGTCGAAGTCTCAACTCCTAGTCCCCGCTTCAGCGGGTAGGTTACGCTGCATCTTCGGGGGACCTCGTCTGTCCCAAACATTGGCGTCATATCTTGTGCCCGACGCAGGCTCGATGTGGCTTCGACGCGGATGCGGCGTGGATTCGACGCGGATTCGATTTGGATTCGACGCGGATTCGACGAGTCCGACGTGGATTCGACGCGGATTGGACCGCGACGGGACAGACAAGGCCCCTTCGAGGATGCAACATAAGGTAGGGTTCGGATGTCGCCACCAGAGGAGGAGGAGGAGGAGGAGGAGGAGGAGGAGGAGGAGGAGGAGGAGGAGGAGGAGGAGGAGGAGGAGGAGGAGGAGGAGGAGGAGGAGGAGGAGGAGGAGGAGGAGGAGGAGGAGGTGGAGGAGGAGGAGGGGAGGAAGAGGAGGAGGAGGAGGAGGAGGAGGAGGAGGACCCCGTTTGGTATCGCTGTAATACCGCTCTTCCTCGGGGGGGTCTGCATGTCCCTCCCTACCTCCCTCCCTCTCCCTGCCTACCTCCCCTCCCTCCTCTCCTTTCCTTCCCTTCTCTCCCTCCCTCCCTGCCTCCCTTCTTCACCCTTTCCTCTTATGGCGATGCCGACGAGGTAAGCATCGGCACGGACGGCGCGAACCTGACTTCCGTCGGCGAGGAGGACGAGGTGCTCTGTTTCCGGACGCTCGCCACCAGGTTCAGGCCTGAGGACGACGCGTTTGCTGCTTTTCTGATGGTGTCGTCGCCGCCGTCGTCCAAGGAGGAGGGGGAGGTGGAGCAGGACGGGGATGATGATGATGATGATGATGATTATGATGATGATGATGATGATGATGCTGATGATGATGATGATGATGATGATGATGATGATGATGTTGATGCTGATGCTGATGATGATGATGAGGAGGAGGAGGAGGAGGACGAATAATGAATAATGATAGGTGGGATGAGGGGGAGGGTTAATGAGAAGGCGCAATGTTGGACGGTGTGTTTGTATGTGCGTGTGTGTGTGTGTGTGTTTGTTTGTTTGTTTGTTTGTTTGTTTGTTTGTTTGTGTGTGTGTGTGTGTGTGTGATGTGCGTGTGTGCGTGTGTGCGTGTGTGCGTGTGTGCGTGTGTGCGTGTGTGCGAGTGTGCGAGTGTGCGAGTGTGCGTGTGTGTGCGTGTGCGCGTGTGTGTGTGTGTGTGTGTGTGTGTGTGTGTGTGTGTGTGTGCGCGTGTGTGTGCGTGCGTGCGTGTGCGTGTGTGTGTGTGGTGCGTGTGTGTATGTGGTGTGTGTGTGTGTGTGTGTGTTGTGTGTGTGTGTGTGTGGTGTGTGTGTGTGTGTGTGTGTGTGTGTGTGTGTGTGTGTGTGTGTGCGTGTACGTGTGTGCGCGTGCGTGTGTGTATGTATGTATGTGTGTGTGAGAGAGAGCGAGAGTGTGAATGTGAGTGTGAGTGTGTGTGTGTGTGTGTGTGTGTGTGAGTGTGTTTGTGTGTGGGTGTGCGTGCGTGCATGCGTGCGTGCGTGTGTGTGTGTGTGATGTTGTAGCGTGGCCTGTATACGTATGTGCGTGTAGCCTGCTTAGGGGCTCTAATGGATTCCATTCCACAGGGTTTGTTAGGAGCACTGGGGGAGAATGACTATCAAGGATTCGAGTTAGAAGGGGGAGGACGACCAGTGAGGTGATGGCGACGACGACGACACTGACAATGACGATAACAATGACGATGACGATGACGATGACAATTGCCACGACCACGATGATTCTGATTCTGATGATGATGACGATGATGATGAAGAAGATGACGACGACAATGACGATGATGATGACGATGACGATTCTGCTGACGATGACGACGACGATGACGACGATGCTGCGGCTCTGCTGCTGCTGATGATGATGCTGCTGTTCATAATGATGCTGCGGATGTGTTGTTTCAAGTATCTCTTGGCCCAGTCGTGTTTAAGTGTATTGGCTCTGATCACTTTAAAACCTTCTTGGCTAGCAGCTGCTTTGGCAGAGGGCTCCCGCCTGGGGGCTGCCCCTTGGCAAACCTCCTGAGCTACGCCTTCCTGGGCGCAGGGCTTCCTGCGATGTCGCACCGCCTGAGTGGAGAAACAACCACAGCTGAAACAAGCACTAACCCCCTTTCCTTGCTGTACCCGAGCGCGTGGGAATCATGGAGCTGGTGCCCGTTAATGATGGGCGCGCGCGGCGAGACCATCACAATCATGTTGAACGTGCCCAGACAGCAAGTGTCTGAAGGAACTCATCAGCCAAGGACCTGGGAGCTGATCCCCCACAGACTTTACAGCAAATTTTGGGACCCACTCCTGCCTTTGGGTTGCGGGCGGTGATGGATTGTATTTTTTTGCTCAAGCTTCGAAACAAACCGCTGCCTGGGGGCCCTATCTCCATCAGCCTCGATGCTAGCCAAAAGAGTGTGCCCCAACTGGTGACGGACCTGGTAGGTACGCGATAGCCAGGGCGAACGTTCTGCTGTCACGATTCTGCTTCGGAGCTCTGAGTGACTCCGCCCACGAACTTGCTACGCTGTCTGCAACTTCATTGATGAAAAGATGGAGTGGATCCGCCCCCACAGACGAGACACACTGTACATCTCTGTGACTCTCGTCCTTCACCAGCATAAAGCCTCTGGCTGGGTACACTGCGAGGAGGCCCCTCAACTCATGCTAAACACCAAGATGCGGCTCCAGATGCAGCCCTCGCTGCATTTTAGCAAATTTGTGCATGACATACGATGAGCTTGTGACAAACCAAGTATTCGCAACAGGGAAGACCGTCTTCACACATTCAGGAAGGCTCATCATCTCTCCCGCGTTGACAGACTGCCTGGTGCCTGGGGCATTCCCGAAGCCGAAGCCTACAGCCTGGGTCTGGAGGTCTTCTACGCGGTAGCTCCCGCTAACGTGAAGCTCCCGAAGAACAGCCCAAGCCCAAGCAACACGCCTCCAAGCTGGACCCTGTGTGTCCTGGCCCCCGCTAGTATCCCTCCCACCGAAGGTGAAACCCCCGACACCAGCTTCAACACTATCACCACCGAGCCTACGGAAGTCAGCCTCGCCGGGACACAGAGAGCCGGCGGTCCAGGACTCGGGCGTCAGCCCTCGGATCCAAAATGTTGGATTGTTCCCTGCATCTGCGAGAGCTCGTCCAGCCCCGTGCCCTGCGCACATCAGGCTCGAAAGCATCACCACATAAGTGCAGGAGCTGCCCCAGAGAGGCCACAGTCGTTCCAAGAGTTCTGGGCAGCTCCTAGCCGCAGCTTCCTCTCGTGTCTAGCGACCAGGGTCTCCTTAAGCTCAGCAAGGTCGACCTTGCCTTGACCTTGTCCGAAATCGTAAACTTATCACCTAAATCATTGTTCCCACGCCCAAGGTCGCCACGGGTGCCATCCTAGATCCAGCAAGGTGGCGACTGTGGCAGCAGCAGGGGTCGCTGCCCCTCTCCATCTCTGGCACTCGGGCTTGTCGCGAATGCGCTGCACCGAGCGTCGCCAGATTTTCCTAGCCCTCTCAGCATGGAACGATGGGTCAGTGAGGACCATGAACCATGCTCCTATGGTATCAAAAAGGGCGGGGAAAGCCGATACCTTCCTAGCGTACCCCAGGGCAATGAATGTGGTCAGGCATTTGCCCCCCTTCGCGATTCCACCCGACAGACGACCTACCGCCCTGCGCTACTTCAAGACGACGTTGGGGGCAGTGCCATGGACCATGTCAGAATGCATGGACTTAGAAAACGCTGCTGTCATGGTCATTCTTCTGGCCCACCGTTTTCAAAGCCTATTGCCCTTCGAATGTTTCTGAAGCTTTGTTGCCCCCTTGGTGGCTGGCCCCTATCCAAGATCAGCCGCAAGTAACTTTACCTGGATCTCCACAGTTGCTGAGAGCAAAAACCTGCTGGAGCTGCTTCGCTACTAACGTGCTGGAACACATGCTACTCGACTTCATGGCCACGAACAGGTTAGCTGCTTCAATCGTCCTTCCTAGCTTGAGACCAACTTCAGTCAATGTGGTAAGCGCAAGCTTACTGGTTCCCTGCATGCACTGGACAATGCCATCAACCCAAATTTGTAAAGAGGGCTCACCTGAAGCACCTGTGACCAAGTCTGCACACACATGGTGAAGCCAGCCCTACCTAAGTCACGGCCCCACTACTCCCAGTGATCAGTCAAAGCTTTGGATCCACAGGCGGAGAGTGCCCAGCACTACCCCTCAGGTACCCGGCAGCCATGTGGACCTGAAGCTCGAGCGCTCGATAGCACGATGGGAAGCTCAACTCGAGAGCCTTGTTCGACATCACATTCAGTTTAAGACTGTCATGCATCACCGTGACGAAAGTTTCTATCAATCTGCCTTCGCCATTAGCGCATCAGCGCGGAGTAGTTCGGAGTAGAACTACTCCAGCTACTCCGCGCGCGGGCGCATCCCGCTCGATAACTCATAGGGTTTGGAGCGGAGTCGTTTCCAATCCGGTTTTGGGGAACAGAGTTATAAGCATTCAGCGGATCGGAAACTACTCCGCCGAATGACGAAATCATCATGTCATGTTAGGAGTCTTTAGAGGGATAAATTGCCTTAGTGCGACCCTACCTGGGAGTTGGAGCCCCTAGGAAAGCAGCATTAGTAGTAACGGTAAACGCCGTCCTCCTCCTTCTCCTCATCGTCGTAGTTGCCTTTGCTTTTGCTTGCTTTTGCTTTTGCTTGGTTTTGCTTTTGCTTTGCCTTCGCACACACACACGCATGCTTTTGCATTCGCTCACCGGGTGGGCTCTCTGATCGTACTGTTGCACACTGCTTTTGCTTTGCCTTTCCTTTGCTTTGCTTTTGCTTTTGCTTTGCTTTGCTTTGCGTTGCTTGTGCTTTGCTTTGCTGTTGCTGCTGTTGCTTTGCCTTTGCTTTGCTTTGCTGCTATGCTATGCTATGCTATGCTGCACTATGCTATGCTATGCTCTGCTATGCTATGCTGCGCTGTGCTGCGCTATGTTATGCTACGCTAGGCTGCGCTATGTTATGCTAGGCTATGGTATGATATGCTATGCTGCGCTATGCTATGCTATGCTGTGCTATGCTGCGCTATGCTATGCTATGCTATGCTATGCTGGGCTATGCTATGCTAAGCTAAGCTAAGCTACAGCTAAGCGAAGCTAAGATGAAACTAAGCTAAGCTAAGCTAAGCTAAGCTAAGCTACACTAAGATGAGATACGCAAAGCTAAGGTAAGGGGGCGCAACTGGGGGAACCGCGGGACGGATCCTGGGGGAACCGCCCGGGGCGGGGAGCACTGCCTGGCCCCTTTAAGCCAACAGGGTAAGAACCCTTCTAGGCAGAGCCTAGGTAGGGAAATATATCATCATCGTGGCAAATTGAAGGAACTTTCCTCCAGGCTGTGTAGAACCCTCTGACATGCCAGATCAGGCTGCCGCTCTGGACGTCGGAACATCTGGATCTGGATTTCGTTGCCTCTTCTTCGCGATAAAGCATCCGGAGCGCAACCTGCAACGCCGACGACCCCGCAATAGCGGTATCCGGTATCCTAGGACCGCACCCTGTCCCGGGTCTAGGACGCCCGGTCAGCATTCCGCGCGCGGCCCCACAAGCGGACCGACCAAGCGGGCAAACCGACCGCGGGATCGGAATCAGCATCCTGGGCCTGCCGGCTGACTAAAGCTACTGGCACTTGCCGCGGCCAGCAGCACCGGGCCTCCAC